ATGTTATGGAAAATACTACGAAACAAAAATTGCTTCACAAAATCGTGGTTAATCTGTCAAACAGTAACTTTACGCACCTGTTTACACTTCTTCACAAAGGGGCGTTCCCATAACAGCTTCGTAAAATTACGAGTTTTGCACAGTTAAAGACTTTACGAGTTTAATGGAATCCCTTTACTTTAAGTTTTTCCAAAAAAATTTGCTCCAGCTTTTGCTGAAAGGTAAATAGAAGCACTGTGTAAATTTTTAGTGCTTAATTTCAAAAATGCCAAATTTTGATGTGTCACTTTTGAAGATCGTGAACGATATGTACGTACGTACATATGTATTTACATACATACGCTGCGATCAGGTTATAAATATTGCGCCATCTGTTACTCAAAAGCCGAAATACCTACCCGCACATACTTTTTGTCTCCTTCTCTCACTTCAAACGCATGCACATGTTTGCAAAATGATGACGATGTGATTTTGTATGAAAATCATTTATGCCCATATATTTGAATAAAATAAACATACTTAAAAGATATAAACCATTGCTAATTTTTTCAAAATTTTTTGGCCTTAAAATGCTCAACATTTGTCGAATTTATATAAAATATTTCCATTGCTCCAAAGAACCTATATCGCGAAAATGAAAGTTATATATGCAAATTATTCAATCATAAGTTGCGAGAGCACTTTAAAGACTCAAGACTGACCCCAAAATAAGCCAATATTTACCGTTGTTTCAACGACAGAAGCGAGTTGGTTACTTACGAAAATTAGTCTGTCGATAGGTTTGGAATTTTGTCTTTGAAACGCCGCATTTTGATTTGAAATCACTTCAATAGTTCTCGTGCAATAAGCGTTTGTACGTCAAAATCTTTTGAAACAAAGTTTGTCAAAGAAGATGTTAAGCTTAAAAGACGACGAAGCTACCAGAATGGGGAAGAGCATCGGCGTAGCCAGAATGAAATTTAGGGGGGGAGGGGGCTCGACCCTNATGCAATAAGCGTTTGTACGTCAAAATCTTTTGAAACAAAGTTTGTCAAAGAAGATGTTAAGCTTAAAAGACGGCGAAGCTACCAGAATGGGGAAAAGCATCGGCGTAGCCAGAATGAAATTTAGGGGGGGAGGGGGCTCGACCCTATTAAACTGGCATTTCAGGGAACTATTTTATATATATATAAGGAAAATTTGAAAGTTAGGGGGGGGCTCGAGCACCCCCCTGCCCCTACCTGGCTACGCCCATGCGGAAGAGTATATGTATTGTGAATAAATATCCAATATATGTATTAAAGATTTTAACTTTGTGATAAACACAATGGTCATGATACAAATGAAAAATAGGCATACAGCATATTTTTTAAAAGAGGAAATATTAAAAGGCCTGCACTAATTCGATATTGACCTTACACAAATATATTCAGCTCCTTCGAACATCGGAAACAGAAATTTATTTTTTCGAATGGAAGATAAAAAATACGATTACTACAGTGAAATAATTTTCTGGAAAAATGTTTGAAAGAGGAAAGACTTCGTTTGTTATCACTAGGGCTCGGAGTCTCATGCACTAAAAAATCGAAAATATGAGCATATAATAAGCACTCAAAATTTAAAAATATGCGATATAAACAAGTAAAACATGCGAATAAAGATATTTTCCTAATATTTTGTTGCCAGCAAAAATAATTAAATCATACATTTTAACAAGAAAATAACGAAAACAATTTACTTCAAAATACAATACATATTTATGTATAAAATTAGTTTATAATCAAGCAGCCAGTTATAATCTTGTGTAAATAGAAATATTGGTAGTTTAATAGTTTGAGAAAGTTTACCATCTTGATTCCAGAACTCGTGCAACCTACAGCAATTTGGCGGTTAAACATTTTGTTGGAATGGCTTGTAGAGTGTATTTAGCCTCATCCTTGCGTGGGCTGGACTCTCGACGTCCACGACAGAATGTTTTGAAGGGCAATGCAATCCTTTCGGCATGTACCCCAACGGAGCAGTGCCCTGTGCATTTTGCAATAAGTTTGTAGGTATCTTCTTTGCTGCTTTTAGGGTCGTAGAACACACAGAACTGCCGGGTAAAAATAAAAATTCTGTGCAATAGAAAAAAATTTGATGTTTGTGTGCACCAGCACGAATTAGTATCGAAAATTTCCATTTAAAATTTTATCCTTGAATATCCTTGAAAATTTCCAATATTTATTATTGAAAAAATGTATGTGAAGGACTAATATGTTAACTACCACATCCTCGAATTTGGTCCTTCTAAATTTATTAATTATAGAAAAAAAATTTACACTTCTCTCTATAAGATATTGATAGTTACAATATATGTACATACGGTGACCAGATTTGTGTGGACGAAAATCGGGACATCTGTAATACATCGAATTTTGTTTTTAGAATAAAACTACATAACATCTTTTAATACAGTTTTATTTAAAACAAAATAAATAGAAAATAACTTGAAAAATGATCGAAAAAAGGTATACCCAAAATAAACAAATTTTAACAAATGCTGATAAAAATTTTAAACAGATTTTTTAGAAATGTTTTGCGATTTAAAATACTAGTTTGAAGTAGCTTGGACTTACCGTTGATTTTTGGCATTTTTTTTGTTTTCTTCCATACAAAGTATACCTTCCACAACAAAATTTACCAAAAATCAACAGTAAGTCCAAGCTATTTAAAAAATTTTTGACTTGCATGGTCTTTGGTAAATAACGAGCTACACTTTCATAAAAAATAATAAACATTAAATAATCGAAAGGGAAATAGCCAAATAATGTTAAAATGTCTCTTCCCTATTTATATCTTTGCCACTGTATCTACAGCTTATATTTTTCATAACCATGAATTTTTTGAGGGAATTAGTATTTCACTAAACTCAGAATAGTTTCATGAAAACCAAAAACGAAACTGAAAAAACCACAGAATAAAACATAACCAAAGATTATAGAAAGTAAGGATGCTGGCTATGTTTATGGCTCCCTTATACCATGTTCTGACCGAAAACGAAAACATTTTGAAAACGAGTTTTGGGATTGTGGGCTGAAGGCAGTTAACGCCGGATGTTAGTTGACATTCCTTATATCCTTTGTTTACAGTTTTGCTAGAAAAAAACCAAATCAAAATATTTTTTTTTATTAACAACCTTTTTCTTCGATTCTTATTTTAATTTGGCCAGCCAATTAAACAATACATCCGAACTGGCGTATTAAAGATGATGAAGTATGACTTCCACTTCGATAAATAATCGAGATAAACTAGTGAAGACACTGATTGGAATGAGTGGAACGTGATTTTTCAAGTGGTTTTCAGCGAAAACTGGTTTTCGTTTGACAGTTTTTACATGGACGAAAACAAAAGTTTTAGGTTGAAAACCAGTTTTAGCAACGAGAACATGTTTTTGATGTCGGTCAGAACATGGTATTACATTCTATGTTCTTTGTGATAATGAATGTACTGCCACGTTTGTAAGAAAAATTGTTTTTTGGTCAGAGTACAGGGAGACTCTTTTTAAATTAATAAAGAAAACACTGAAAATCGGGACATAATCGGTACAAATATGAAAAATCGGGACATTTATTCGTCCCGACTTTTAAACAATATTCAGCGGGACAATTTTCTCAAAATCGGTACAAATGGCCACCGTAAATATACATAAATGAAGATACTGGAATCATTATTATGTATGCGCTATAAAAGAACAAACTGATCGTATGATGTACGGTTTAAATACTTTAATTGTTTTGTATACAAAGGCGTAGCCAACCTTTCACCTAGAGGGGCTGGAGTTTAAATTGAGGGTAAAAGTATTCTTTACAACGATATAAATTATTTAAAAATCGGTCTGTAATTTTTTGTTTAAAATATTCTTTTTTTTTATAAAAAAATAATTTTTTTGTTTTTAAGTGTTTTTTCTTCTTGCTTCCGAGAGCGAAGCGGATTTTAGCAGAAGCTTTTTCATTGCAGAAGGCTTGCCATTGCCTGCCAAAGGGATACCGCTTTTATAAATACTTTTTTCTAATATAGAAGTTGTACGGAACAGCCCTTAGTATATACCTCTAACCAGGCAACCACAGCGGCAATTTGCGTAGTCGCCTAGTGAGTTTGTTTTGTGACCGCTGGTGGGTAGAGTAGAAAGGTAATTTTCAGCAGGGAACTAGTATTCCAATATTGAAAAATATCAGCCCCTCTAAGAACTCTTTTATATGTATACTCCTTAATTACAATTTCAAATTCCGAAGTTCTCAGCTGACAGCTAATTTTAAGAAAAAGTTGCAATACCAAATTTTTTTGAAACAAATTATTCACAATAAACGTATAAATTAATCCCATAAAAACTCGATTGGAGCGAATTCAATAAATTAAAAAAAAATATTACGCCATATTGGATCCGTCATTTTGAATTTTAAAAATTCATGGACATGTTCATAATCAGCGACCCCAAATACCTCTAAGTAAAAAGTTCCAAGCGAATTCAATAAATTTTGAAAAACTTTGAAAATGAAATGAAAATTTGTATTACACAAAAGCGTGGCAACCCTGATGGAAAATATTTTCTGACCAAAGTTCTCAACAATATCTTTCATAGTGCGACTTTTTAGATTAATTGTGCTGAATCGAAAACAAGTCGCAATCTTACACTATTATGCTAAGGGACATATTTTGTATATAAGGGAAACATTGTTTAAGAACCTTCTCTTGATACATACACATGAATAGTAATATTTTACCTTTTTTTCTAAACAAAAAATTAAATAATTATGCTATTCAAAATAGGTGGCAACCCCATTAAAATATTTTTGAATTAGGGATCTTTAAAATACCTACATACCTTTTTCAAGAAACAGAAATAATGAAAAATATTTGTTGTGATTTTTCTTGGGAGCTGGTGTGAATACCTACAGTATAGTTCATATTCGACTATTATTTATTTTAATGTAGTCACATGTCTTTAATTCTTTTCAGATACATTAAGCAAAGAAACACGAAAAATGTTGAACGAACAATACACGGAATGTAGAATTCTACCCACCATCAACGAAACTTTTCCTCAATTTGGTCGATCTATTGCAACGTTGCTCTCGCCACTTGACTTATCGCTGCGCGCCTCCAACATCATACCGATAACGCCACCCTCCACACCCTCACCGCCGCGTAAGCGTCAAAGATTAATGTCAGACGAGAATAGCCTCTGGCGACCGCATGCCATGGGGGCAACTCAACTAACACCGCTAACCACGTTGCTACCAGCAACACCCGTAGCCACAACCACATACACACACACAGCAACAGCAACAGAAACAGCAACTTCAGCCTCAGCCGCTGGTGGCAATTACCTGTCTCAACTAACTTCAATCTACGATTGTCGTCACGACGAATTACCGACGCATCATGCAGCGTCCAGCGGATATAAAAACAATTTACACCAAATAAGAAACTGCTTTGAAGAAATTCCAGAAAGTCAACCAACCGCATTGCAACCCAACCCAAATGAACCCCCGTTACGAGAGCAAAAACATACGCACTTACAACAACAAACGCCACAACAATGCCAATTGCCCATTATATGCGTGGACGATGAAACGATTGTGTTGACCGAGGACGAGGAAGAAACACTTGTCAGTTCGCACGGATACACCGAGGACATGGACGACGAAGAGGACGACGACGACGCCGACGACGACGTTGATGATGGCAACGCCGACGATGTGTTGGAAGCAGTCAGGATGGCTGACTTTAGACCAGCATTGTACACAGATGCCAGCAGTAATGAAAGTAAGAAAGAAGTAGGCGAGTGCAGGGGAAATGATGAGCATGGGGGTGATGGTGAGGATGAAGAAGAATACGTAGACATCTTGAGCAACGACGACGACGACTTAAATCCGCTCAATAGCGCTAATTTCACACAACATCTGCAGAGCCGAGCATTGGAGGAAGAGCTCGAAAAGACCGGCAAAGTATTGACGCGCAATAAACTCACCTATGACAATGAAGAGTTGCACCATCGAGCCATTGACGGTTTGGCCAAGTTATTCGAACGAGATTTTCTTGTGCCAAAGAGTGCGGCAGAAACGCAAGGCAATATTTTAGTAACAAACAAACAAACGAATGTTGCGTTCACCGCCGACTTGCAAGAACGTCACAGAGCAGCGCCAGGGGAAAAGCCCTCGTTAAAAGCGAATAGTTTTGGTCGTGCCCACCAGCAACGCAGCCATCATAAATCGGAGCGAAAACGCATGAAATTGCGAAAACATCAACTCGCACTCGACGAGGAGACCATCAGCCCCGTCTCGGGCACCATCATACGGAAATTGCGCGACGACGAAGAGTTGGTGGTGCGCAAAGGTGACATTGATCCGGCTTTCAATGTGGTTGAAATCACCGAAGAAGCTAAGGCGATTTTGGCCAGCATCGACAACAAAATCGGCGCTTACTTGTGCCAACTGTGTCGCACACTGTACGATGATGCATTCCAATTGGCACAGCACCGGTGTCCACGCATCGTTCACATCGAATATAAATGCTCCGAGTGCGAAAAGGTGGGTGGAGATAATGGGTGGATATTAAAGGCTTGATCAAATTTTTTCTCGCCATTTAGGTCTTTAATTGCCCAGCTAACTTAGCCTCACATCGCCGCTGGCACAAGCCCAAGTCCGAGCTAATGGCCAGCAGTGGGCAGAGCAAGAAGCGGCAACAATACGAACAAACCACTGCGCAAGGAGGCATGGGACATGAAAAGCGAAATGCAGCTGATGACGGACCAGAGGGAGTTTATCCATGCGTGCAGTGCGGAAAAAATTTCCGACGGTAAGTGGTTTAATCAAGCTTATCTAAAGCAGCACAAACTTAATTGAAGAATAAAAAAAATACATTATCCTTCTTTATATGTATGTATTTGTTGAAACTCTACCATCCTCATTACAGCCAAGCCTATTTGAAAAAGCATCAAGCATCACACCAAATGCTGGAAAATCTCAAATCTTTGGACATCTTCAAAAACTCTGCTGCCATTCGAAATCCGAGTTTTCCGCATTCAATGCCACAACCTAAAAGCCATTTCAGCTTTTCCAATGCACCGGCGACCGCAACGTCTTCGCGTTTACCCCACATACACGCCGCCCACTTCAACAACCCTCACACGCACACCATCAAACCCTATCCGCAGCGTTTGAACGCATTTCCCTTCGATCAACGACGCTTCTATTCACTTAGTGACTTTTATCTCTCCCAACACTTGGATCATTCGCATTCCGCCTTCCAGTACGTGCAGGCCAATCATTTGCGCAACCTAACCACTGTAGCTGGTGCCTTTGCTCCACGCGCCCAACTGGTACCGCCGCCGCCCAGTGCTTTGGTTGCANGTTAATCAAGCTTATCTAAAGCAGCACAAACTTAATTGAAGAATAAAAAAAATACATTATCTTTCTTTATATGTATGTATTTGTTGAAACTCTACCATCCTCATTACAGCCAAGCCTATTTGAAAAAGCATCAAGCATCACACCAAATGCTGGAAAATCTCAAATCTTTGGACATCTTCAAAAACTCTGCTGCCATTCGAAATCCGAGTTTTCCGCATTCAATGCCACAACCTAAAAGCCATTTCAGCTTTTCCAATGCACCGGCGACCGCAACGTCTTCGCGTTTACCCCACATACACGCCGCCCACTTCAACAACCCTCACACGCACACCATCAAACCCTATCCGCAGCGTTTGAACGCATTTCCCTTCGATCAACGACGCTTCTATTCACTTAGTGACTTTTATCTCTCCCAACACTTGGATCATTCGCATTCCGCCTTCCAGTACGTGCAGGCCAATCATTTGCGCAACCTAACCACTGTAGCTGGTGCCTTTGCTCCACGCGCCCAACTGGTACCGCCGCCGCCCAGTGCTTTGGTTGCAAAATGACCCAATATTGTGCGTCCCGTGCCACGCATTGCACTTGGCACCACTATAACAACAACAACAACAACACTCAGCAGAGACATGACACAAGTACCGACGGCACCGGGACCATCAGCGGCTGCTGGCCTGGGCGCTTCGACTAATGCTGCATCAGCTTTCTTGGCTGGCNGGTACCGACGGCACCGGGACCATCAGCGACTGCTGGCCTGGGCGCTTCGACTAATGCTGCATCAGCTTTCTTGGCTGGCAATAGTCATTTTAGTTGGTTGCCGGCTGCGTCAACAAGCGGAGAAGCCATGCCAACGGCAACAGCTCCAGCATTACCTACTTTCAGGGGGCATATTTAGGGCAGGCATTTGGAATGTGTGTGTTGAATTTGCCATGGAGAAAGTAGTAGTTAGTAATGAATTTGAAATATTTTTTTTTTTTTTAGCTAAACTAAATAATTAAAAATGAATATTTACATAGATACTTAAATATATTGTATTTATTGCAATTATTAAATATTGAGTTAATAAAAATAGTAAATAAAATCTATGTGTATGCAAGTGTACATACGTATCGTCGGTGTTTTTGCAAAACCGCCCATCGACCAAATGCGAATCCGCCTATCGACGGCACTCAAATTTTGCAGGAGAGCGAAAAAACGGGTTTTCTTTGAAGGCATTGACTTGATAGGCGGCATTTTCTGTAGCTATTTTTTTTACAAATCTGTTGTTTTAATAATGATTTTAAGATTTTATGCATAAATCTCGATGCCTGGAGTTCAGGGTCACCAAATCTCAGTTTTGCCACAAGGCGATTTAGGCGGTTTTGCAACTGGTCGACGGGCGGTTTTGCAAAACCATCGACGATATGTACATATACATATGTATGTATTTCCCTTAAATGTTTCGCTTTTCCTCAGTGTTAAGCTTTCGACTGAAATGGCCCATTTGAAGTGCGTAGGATAGCACGTAAGACATGTAAGTTTCCTCATGAACACCGTGAAGAAGATGAGAGCGCGGACCTAAAAATAAAATATGTAACTACAAAAATCTTTCATATGCAAGTATTTGGTAGTATGCGGAACCCCAAGTGGCCCAAAAGAGATCGTCACTCCAGAAATCGTTGAAAAGAGACATGAAATGATCTTGGACGATCGGAGACTGCAAGTGTATAAAGTGGCTGAGGCTGTAAGCATATCCACTGAGTGAGTAGATAACATTTAACACGAACAGTTGACTATGAGAAAGCCGGCCATGGGATTGGTGCCGCGCCTGCTGACACTGGACCAAACGCAAACGTGGGGCCACTTCAAAGGCGTGTTTGGCGATGTTCAGCTCGAATCCGAACCAGTTTTTTCATCGTTTCCTAACGGTTGACGAAATGTGAATCTACCACAATACAACAGAGATCCATCAGGGAATGCACAAAAAAGAAGGTCAAAGTGGGTCTGAAGGCGAATAAGGTTATGGCCAAAGGTTTTTGGTGTCGCTCACATCGATTAACTTGAAAAGGGCAAAACGATCACTGGCGTATATTACGTCGAGGTTTTGAACAGATTCGATATTGACTTGGAACAAAAACAACCGCACTTAATTCTTAAAAAAACTTTAAAAAAAGTCTCCCGCCAGCTCCTTCGTCCACTTCTCCCCCTCCTCTTCACCTTCTAGTCCATTGAAAACCTTTTTCAACCCAGATGTACAATCAGGGAAGTAAACAGATGGTAATCTGAGGACTCCTGGTCAGGGTAATGTGAAGGGTGGTTCAAACGAGTCCAGGTGTCAAAGCAGGTTTTTGTTAAGTGCATGCGGGCATTTTGTTTGCGAAATAATAGTCCGAGCTGCGATCGACAGGCGAAATATTTATAATGCTGGATTTCCACTAGGCATTAAATGGCAAAAATGACAAATGACAAAGTCGGGCATTAAAAAATAATGGTGGCATTACATTCAAAAATCTTTCATTAAGTTCATTTCCATATGGCATTATTTTAAATGGCGTTAATTTTTTGTCGTTTCAATGCCTAGTGGAAATTCGGCATAAGATATCATCCGAATTTGTTGAACTCCGAGATACGCCAAGAAAGAAACAATGCAGCGGTATTAAGGAAAAGCGTAGAAATGAGGAAAGAAAGCGAAGTAAAAGGGCAGCACAGGCGGAACATCCACTGCAGCCTCAATGATCAACGAATCAAATTAGGAATAATGGTCGAATGACTTCAGTCGATTTTGTGGCCCGACTAGAGAGACCCAAATGCATAGGTATTCTTTTTGAATACGAAGGCGCGAAACAGGTGGTCGCTGCATAAGTACATTCAATCTTTACCTTTCAAAGTTCTTTAGAATATTCGGAAGCTGTAAATTAAGTAGTCGTATTATTCAGAATAGAGCCTAGATAAACTAGCGCGTGACAATAAATTTGCGACTGTGACTATAGTCATCATAATCATAATATAACCTAATATGGGAAGGCTAATTATGACAGATTGTGGCCCTTGGATGCTAAGAATCGTAAAGTTCTTCATGCATACTTCAGAAATTAAAACGTCCTCTAATTTTATATTTAGTTCAAATGATAGAACCATAAAAATCCCTTGCATCATACCTCTTGCATAAACCACCGCCTCCGTAGGCATATTAACCAAGCGGTCATTCGCTGCCGCTTCATTTTCATTCGGAAAGTCCATCTCTTTAGGTATGACATCTACCTCAGCGCTGCCATCGACTGCATTCCGTACATAATAGCCATTGGTGAATACCGACAAAATCAGAGTTTCATCTTCACTGAGAAAAAAAAAGTTTGCAAAAGCTTACTTTAGACTCGTATACCATTTTGCCTGCTACATACCTATTCTGCTCCACTATCTGTTGCACTACATCGTTCCAATGCAAGAGTGTGCGTATTTGCTCTGCCACATTTGCCGACGATTTGATGCCACTCTCCACGATAAGGAAGTATCCCTTATCTTTGCGCTTTAAAACTTCCAAAGCTTTCCCCATCATTTCCGATAGTTGTGGCGTACGTTTCTTCGGCGCTTTCAGCCCATCCATCAACAGCGGTAGATAATTATTCGCGAAAATACCCATGACATGATCCACATTAGTGCCATTTAACTCCTGCAAATCCTGTTTATTCTGCAGTACCGCAAATTCACGCTTCAATTTAACGTTCAGCTTCTGCCAATCACTTATGATATTGCGGTTATCTCGCGAATCGCAAACTGTCTCATCGACAGGGTCCCACGCGGTGTTAGGTGAATGTGAGACGAGCGTTTGTCTTCCGCCGCCCATAATCACATTGACCTGCCGTCCCACTTCACTTTTAATGAGCTGCAATGCGGTGTCAATACAACCAGCCGCTCTAGCGGCTACTGGCAGCGCAGCATCGCATTCCCAAGCAGTGTTGGGCGTGTGAGCATATAACGCTCCCATAGCCGCGCCGGTAACGCGACGTGTGGTTATAAACCCAGTGCGCATACCATTTTCCTGTGCCTGCTCGAGTATGCTTTTCACGTAATGGCTAATATTCGCTGAAGCACGACAATCGCGAAAATGCACGCTGCTATCGAAACCACCCACACGAAAATTGGGACGCACACCATTAAAAAGAGCGCTGGCCACGGTGAATGGGTCACAGAGATCGGTATTACTGCAACTATTCTGAAGGTAAACAAAATATATATATATATTTATTTTAAATTTAAGCTGCTTTGTTCCTTAACATAATGTCGTGTTTTAACCTTTAATCGGCCAAGATGCGGAAATCGCTCCCAAATTAGCTTACGTTGTGGTTTACTTCGATTAGACAGCACTTCACGCGCTGCTGCCATCGTTTCCGTATCAATGCCGCTAATCACAAATATGATTGCGTTACGCGCCAGCTGCTTACGCCAATTCTTATTTAACGCCACTTCCAGCTCTTCAATAGCTTCATCGAACCATAATTTCTGCTCTGGTGGAATGTCGTCCTTCCAGTAAGGTGTGTCTTCTATACTAGAAACCTCACTGTCCACCTCGTAACGCATCATAATGCTTACGCAAAACATTGTTATGATCATGGTGAGTAGGATTGTAGTTGCAAAAGCAAAGATGCGCGTCGTGTTTAGGCGCAAATGACTAATTGGTGGCGATGATTTACTTTGCTCCATAGCTAGGTGCGATAATTTGTAGTCTACTGGTGCGGAGGAAGTATTAAACTGAGCTCGTATGAAAAGTGTAGTCGATCCATGAGGTGATGATCTTCTCACTTTTCGCTATCTCTGCTATACGAATTGACAAGATATAAATTTAATGGATGCGCTGATAACGTGCATGATAATTTTTTTTTTATTGAGCTGTGTAGATTTCACGAAATAAAAGATGAAAAATAAGTTGTACCCTTTTGTATGTATGTATAAATATGCTTTTCAAAAGGGTTGCTCATTACGCTCGGTCGAGATAGTAAAGAACGCACGCTTTTCGTAGTCTCGGAAG